TAATTTTTAGAACTTAATGCAGTATTTGATTAAATTTCACCTAAGGAATTAAGGAGGTTTAATTAGGTATTAGGATCAATGAAGTAAGGAATTCTCCTTTGATTAAAGAAGTGAAATTGATTATCAATCAATTAAAATTCTCAAGAGTTTAAAACATGATTATATTGCAATTGAAAATCTGGTGAAGTAATTTCTAACTATTTTCCATATAGCATTTTTAATACAAAATTTTTACTCTATTTTTACAGCAAGTTTATTACCTTTTAATGTTCCTATTTCTTACTTTTACATGTTACAAACCTTCCAAAAGAATTGTGTGGCTTAACTAATTGTTAAATTGTGAAGTGGTAATTAAAAATAAGATCTTTATGGACAATATTTGGAGCTTATATTGATTTTCAAATTTTATTACTTGCTACAACTACCTAGTGTGCTTGCTAGTTAGTATTTCTATGAATTTCCATAACATAGACTATCTTTCAAGCATTGAAATCTACCTTGTTGCAGGCTCTGGTATTTGCTCTTCCAACTAAGTCTTTTATTTTGGAAACTGTTGCTTCCGGTTTAGGTATAGGTGTGGTTTTGACTCAGGATGGACATCCTATTGCTTATTTTTCAAAGAAAATTTCAAGCAAGATGCAGAAGCAATTTCCTTATGCTTGAGAATTGTATGCTATTACGGAAGCTGTTGCTAAATTCCATCACTATTTGTTTGGTCATCATTTCGTCATTCGCACCAATCAAAAGAGCTTACGACATCTTTAGGACCAAACAATTCATACTCCGAAGTAAGAGAATTGGTTGCCAAAACTCTTGGGTTATTCTTACGCAATTGAATATAAACCGAGCTCTAATAATAGAGCTGCAGATGCTTTGTGATGAAGCGTGTTTTTGTGTTTAAAAAAATTTGTCACAAATCCTCATCAAAATTTAAACAATTTAATGTAGTACTAGGGTTACCCTAGATTGTCTCCCGTGAACATTGGCTATTAATCTTCATTAAACATGTTGAAGACATTAATTGAACAAGCAATTAAAATGGGGGGTTTTGTGGTTTCAAATCAAAATAAAGAGTAACCAACAAACGAGTTTAATTAATTTAAACAATAGAAAGCAACAATCCTTAGTTCATCCACAAAGATTCTATCCTCATGCCACTCAAGATTTAACATTCATCCTCTCTCCCATGAATTAGGTTAATTTAACAAGCGAAAATCAACCTTATGATCCCAACGAAATTATGCAATTTGTTAGGCTCTAATCTCTCATCCCAAAGTTATGCAACCTTAGAATTAAATCTAGGATTAAGCAATCCCTAATTTAGAATCTCCTTAAACGAATTAGGGTTAATTAAGCAATACCCCCCTTATTCATCATTAATTCAATTCAAGAGACAAGGAAGAAGTAATTCATGAGAAGAAAGGAATTATATTATCATTAAATTCAAGGAACTCAAGAATCTATGTGAACTTACTAAGAATTACACAAAGTTTAGCCCTCCATGGAAATGGGGGTAAAAAATGCAATTGGGAAATGCAGAAAATTCATTAACATTAATGTAAAAGCAAGAGAAATGAGAAACCAAACCCTAGGTTAGACCCTTGGCTGTCACCCAAGGTTGCCCTAAGCTCTGGAAAATATCCTGGCTTTAGTAAAGAAGAGAAAAGGTTCAAAAAACGTCAGAACCCTCTACCCTAATTTGGTAAAAATCTATTTATACTAAAGCTGGCGCCCTCCAAAGTAGTTACTCTCATTCTTTCATAGTAAATACGCACAACATCAGTTGGGTTTTGCCTCTCTGGAGTGATTACTATGAATATTCATAGTAATCACGCGCAGTACTGGAACATTTTGGACTCTCTGGAGTTGTCACTATGAATTTTGATAGTAACTACGCGCAGCACCTTCAATTCTACATGCTCTGGAATGATTACTATGAATATTCATAGTAACCACGCGCAGGTTTAGTGGATTTTGGGTTGCTTTAGTTGTCACTTTAAGCTTTGAAAGTGATCACTTTGGTCCCTTTGCTGGAAATGGCTTGCTGTAGTTGTCACTATCAATTTTGAAAGTAGTTACTTTCACCTCAAATTCCTCAAAATCTCTTCAAAATAAGCTTGGGGATTCCTGCCACATTATTCAAATGATCAAAACATGTAAATAAACTATATAAATCAATGTAAATTAACTAAAAACTAAGAAACCTATATTATTTAGCCTAATTGGAATATTCATCTTATTTACACTATCTAAGTCTATTCTTTTCTATAAAAGGTAATAAATGATGTATAAAAATTTAGTAAAATGTGGATTCATCACTTTGCCATGCTCTTTTCATATGGCACTGTCTTTTCCATCCTCTTCGCTTTTGAATAACATTCGAGTTGTTGTTTCCAAATCTTCTTCACTGTAAAATTTCTTAAAACAATTTCAAGAAGATCCACACACTTATCCACATCATGTTGTGCATGATGGTCTATTGTATCACAACAATTGTTTGGTTATCCCAGCAGAAAATTGTTCAATTATTAATATTATTTTGCAGGAATTTCATTCTTCCAGAATTGCAGTCATGCTGGATTCATATGTACTTTTTCACGTATTGTTGGTTATTATTTTTGAGATGGAATGCAAACGGATATCTGCAAATTTGTTAGCACTTGTCAGGTGTGCCAGCGAGCAAAACAGATTCAGACTTCACCAGTAGGTTTGCTTAGTCCTTTGCCTATTCCTAAGAGAGTTTGGGATGATATTGCGATCGATTTTATTACAAGCTTACCCATTTCTCAAGGGTACATTGTTATATTTGTGGTGGTCAGACCATTTGTCTAAATATACGTATTTTACTCCATTGCGATCCTTTTTTACTATTGTTCAGGTGGCTTAAGTTTTTCTGACTACCGTTGTTAAATTGCATGGTGTTCCTTAGTTCATTGTCACAAATCGCGATAAGGTTTTTACTAGTGCTTTTTGGAAACATTTTTTAAACTTCAAGGCACCTCATTCAAAATGATTTCTACTTACTATTCACAAACTGATGGTAAATCAGAGGCAGTAAACAATTGCTTGGAGATGTATTTACGTTATTTTGTATCTGAGCATGCTCATAAATGGGGATCTTTCCTGCCTTGGGCAGAGTTTTGGTATAACACATCCTTTCATACCTCCATTTGAATGACGCCATTTAAGGTACTTTATGGAAGAGATTCACCCAGCATCATTTCGTTATCTATTAATGATGGCACTCTTACGGATGTTCGTGCACTTCTTAAGCAGCGTGACATGTTGCTAGTTGAACTCAAGCAAAATTTTCTCAAGGCATAACAATGTATGAAATTTTATGCCAGTCGTCATTGGACTGAACTTTATTTTAATGTGGGGGATTAGCACTATCGCTTATCTACTAGAGCTTCCTTCACATGCCAAAATACATCTTGTTTTTCATGTGTTTGTGTTGAAAGCTTGTAGCGGTGACTTGTCGGCACAACATATTTCGATTCCTTTGATTGAATGAGCTGACCTTATAGGCAAGGTTATTCCTGATAGGGAGGGTAATGTAACAACTGAAGATATTGGCTTGATAGGTACCAAAACTGCAGTGGTTGAGAATAGCCAACAGTTGGCTAGGCACAGTCAACGTTTCAAGGTTTAGAGAATAATTAGTATATTAGTGTAGAGAGAGAATGGGGTAGGGGAGAGGATGTAATATGTAACCTCTTTTCTCTGACTATCTCTTTGTGGTGTTTCCCTTTCTTCTTTGTAACTTCTATTTTGTTTTATTTCCTCTGTAATACAAATTCCTGTTGTTGTTTTGCAACTCAATAATAAAATGAGTGTTTCTCAATCTTCTATTCTTCCTTGTGCTTAAACTCTATCAAATTGGATAATTACTGACAACCATCATACATAGTGATGTTTTGAGAAAATAATGGTTACAAATTCAATGTACATTGGTTATGACTTTGTTAGAGAATGCTAACATCTACGTAAATAAAGAGGCTTTAAGAATTAACAAGCAAATATATAATGAATTCTATTTTACATTGATTTCTTGCCATTTTTCTTGAGAATATGACCATTTTTACTTAAATAAATATAGATTCATTTAACGAAAAATTGGAGAAAATGGACTGACTTGAAATTTTCATCATCTAAATATGAAAAATGGAGAACCTTAACTTCAATTGTTTCTACCCCTAAACCTTTACTTTTGGAACAATTTTTTGCAATCATAAGAAAACCCTTCTCGTTTGAGAGGGTCTTAATTGACCATTTTAGATACCGTCTCTACTTTCTCTCGTTCTTATGTTACAAGGGTACATCTATATTCAAGGTTATTGAGCCACAACTAGGAAACTCTAGTCTAATTTGACACTAACTCTCATCCAATTGGAATATTATTATATCTCTTTTAAGATATCACATTTGATTCTTCTTAATTTTATATGTGATTATCTCCATGTACCTTTGTTTTTTTAGTAATATTTAGAAATTTTATTTTATTACCTTTTATCTTTGGTCAATTTTCATAGTCTCACCTTGATGATCATTTTCTCATTTGGGTGAGTTAAATTGAGAGTGATGTGCTCTGCATTGATTTCTTCTTAAAATCTCAAAGGGTCTTCTGGGTTTGATGGAACAAGCAAAAGAGTTACTCATACTGCTTATAGCACCATTAAATTTGGTCTGGGTTTGACCACCACCACTACTCAAAATGTAAGGGGGGTGTATTAGATTAGAATTTTAAAGGACTTTTTTAGTTGAAAAAAGTCTTACAGATTTTAAAAAACTTTGTAGGATTTTTATGACTTTTAAGACTTTGCAAGATTCTGCAAGACTTTTAAGTCAGGATTTTAATAAATTCTGCAGAGCTATGCAGAATTTCATGGATTTTTAACATTAAAAGTTCAAGATTTTTTTTCATATATTCAAATTTAGAATGAGTCAAAACAAAAAAAATAAAAAACAACAATATATGGATAAATAATAATAATAACTCTCTATAATATCATGTCTTCCAAAATAGCATTCATCCACATATCCATAATCTTCCAAGCATTAGCATCTTCTCGCTCTTGCTCTTGGGTTTGAATAATAGACTCAAAATTATGATCTTCATTAACAGATAATGTTGAAGATGAAGTTTCATCCATTAGTTCAATTAGAAATTCATCAGAATGACATTCTTTGGGAAGAAACTTATGTAGTGTTACACATGCTAACACAAGTTTTAGTTGTGGCTTAAATAAAAATGGAGGTCCTGACTTAAAAATTGTGAACCTTGATTTAAAAATACTAAATATTCTCTTGATCACATTCCTTAAAGATACATAATGAAAATTGAACAATTCTTTCTTATTTTCAGGGTTATTACCTTGACCTACAAAATCTTATAGCTGTTATCTTACACCTTGAAATGGAGCTAAAAATTGGCATCGATTAGAAAATCCACAACCCACCAAAAAATATTTACCTAATTATATATGCAATATATATAATATTAGTATAATAAATTATTATTATTATTTAAAAAATAAGCACTTACCTTGAGCCACTTTAAGTCCATTCCTCCTTGTTATAGCATCATTTAGTAGCTTAGTATCATGAGCTGGGCCCTCCCACCCACTAAGAACGTACATGAACTCCAAATCAAAATTACAAGCGGCTAATACATTTTGTGATATTTTTTCATGACGATTACGATAACTGCCTACATCTCGCCCTCTCACAATTACTGGAATACGTTTCCCGTCAATAACTCCAATGCAATCCCAAAATTTAGCATATACAACACTTCATTGTATGAAAAATATAAATATAGTAGTGTCAAATTTAATTATAATTTTTATTGTAAGATAATTAGTACATTCCTTGAAGAAAGGAAAGAATGTTGTGCATTCTCTAATTTTAGCTGGAAAAATTGATTATGGTTTAGCCATCAAAGTAGGTGCTATCGTATTCAAAGCCTTCAAAATCTTGTAAAAATTTTCACTTGTAGTAAATTGTGATCGGCCAAATATGTTACAAATTACACAATATCAAGTATTCTGACCAACAATTTATAGGAATGATGCAATTATTTCTTCAACACAAATATATCGTATATCCTCTAGAAGTGTTTTTTTCTTTAAGAATTGCACATAACTTTTGAAACACATCTGGATACATCCTATAAACTTGTCAAAATATTGCATGATCATCGTTTAATGCTCATTGTATATATTCATTTCCCATGTTAGTAATTCGTTGTCGATTTAATGGATGTTTAATTTGTTCATTACGTATCATAACTAAAAACTAAATCAACACATGCATTAATGCATGCATTGCCATTACACATGTTTACATGGCTTCATAAAATTCTTCGTCACCTATTTCTTCTTTGTCTATGTCACTACCTTTATACATGCTCGAATGTGACATTGTACCTATATAAAATAATATAACACAAAATAATAATATAATAAAAAAATAAAACATGCTAAAATATTTCAATCAAGTATGACCAAAATAACACCAAAACAATATAGTTTCATCATTCCAAAATGTGTTCATACACAAGCAAAATATAAAGCAAACACTTCAATCAAGTGTAACCAAAATAACACCAAAATAATATAGTTTGACAAAATCCAACATGTGTTCATACACAACTAAATTACAAAGAAAATACTCCAATCAAGTGCAACAAAAATAAAACCAAAACAATATTGTTCATCTTAGCTTGTACTTTATCCAATATGAGCACTCTTCTATTAACATCATTAAGAAAAAAACTTTCTTTGCATTAGTATTAAGAAAATTAGCCATCATTTAGCGAGTTCGATCATCCAAATTTGGGATTTCTTTTATAGTACTCCAAATATGTCCCTTTGCCTCTTTGTATCTTTCTCTTTTCTCCATCAAGTTAGACATTTTTTCAAAATTGACGGCCATAGTCTCAATGTCAACAAATAGATTTTCTAGAACTTTGACTTAACTGTTGTTTCCAACTTAGTTAGAACTCCCTCTATACTTGAACCTACTCTGCTTACGATTAATTGGTTTCTTAGTGGAAACCTCTGAGCCTAAAAGGGGTTGAGGTGGTGAAATGCTTAGGGCGAGATAATGGATGCTGGTAAGGTGGTTCATAGTGATCTAGTGCTATGAATATATCATTGTTAAGATCATATAAAAAGCTTCCTGTCCCAAAATTAACCACTTTCTTCTCCAAAAGTTGTAGTATCAGTATCATCAGGGTCTATTGACATGGAAGTGTGCCCACTAGCAATTCTACCCCAACAACAATCTTCAAATCCTCATAATCAACCATACTTTTTTCTTGAAGATTTTTGTGACTTGGGTGAGACTAGAAAAAAAAATCCATTATTAATATATTGAAAATAATATAATGCACTAAACTTGTAAACTATTAATATATTTAAAAGAATACGAAGTAATCTCACCTTTAAGTACTCTTTGCACTTCATCACTAATGGTGAATGTCTTTGTAATTGAGTCCTACCCAAAGGCAGTGTTATTGTACATAAGTGTTGAGATATTATTATATTGTTTCTTAAACCACTTCATTCGACTCAAGTAATGATTATATGTTTTATGAAATTTAATTTTAGCATTAAGACAAGGAAGGATGACTCTCTCCACATTTAGTTTGCTAATTGACCCATTAACATCACGCAGTCCACTTTTTATAACATCTACTATCAACTGTAACAATTCATCAGAATCCTCCTTGGTTCAAGCTTCATAGTTTTCTTAATTATGGATAAGAATACTTATTAAATTTATATCTCACCTAATAGGTACCTATATAATTAAAAACAATACTATAGCCTCATAAAGAACTTAACTGCTATATATATATATATATATATATATATATATAGAGAGAGAGAGAGAGAGAAAGTATACATTATTATTTCTATATTTTAGATATTTAAACATCCATAGAGATCATGATATCAATTTCAGCTTTCAGCTTTCCCTTTTCTTGACGCATCATAAAAAAATTATTACTTAAAAGTTAAAATTTCAAGCGTTTTCTGTGTTATATCTCTGAGGAATAAACTCAATTAAATAGAGTAAAATAGAACAAGTTAATGGCACTGTCATTTATGTTTTCACCAAATAGGGGAATGGAATGGGAACAGTGGTACAGTATTATATATGAGCAGTAGTTCAATATTATTAGCCGAAAAAAAAATGGGGACGAGAGAAGCATAGAAAAAAAAAAGATGAAAAACTCACATGAAAATTTCTTGAAGCACTTGAAAAGTCACTTCAAACAATCCTCTAAAATCTGATGTGTTTGGATAAGATTGTTTTATGAATTTGATATTTATAGATACTACTAAAAAGTCTTTCAAAATCCTTCTAATACAATAATCCTTTAAAATCCTTGTCTTTTTTTTAATACTAATAAATTGTTTTTAAGTTGTAAAAAGTCTCAAATGAATACCAATGGATTTTAATGGACTCTTTAAAAAATTTTGAAAATCTAGATTGAATACTACTAGATTATTTTTAAGTGACATAAAATCTTGATTAAATACCAACCGACTTTTTATTTAAAAAAGTCTTTTAAGATCCTATGAAAATCTAAACTAATACATCCCCCTAAAATTTTGGAACTAGTTGTTTGGACGATTTGGGATAGGATTTTTTATAGTAATTTGTAGTGAGTTTGAATTGGTTTAAGGGAAGGAACAATAGAGAAGTAAAGATGAATAAGAAACAAGAGCCAAATTAAGTTAAGTTAAGGTTCTTCATTTTCTTAGAAAATGAATTGAATGGTTATGTTACTAGGTAAACGGAGAAAATTCAGATCCCCTCAAGTTACTATAAGCATCATAAATTTTACCTTAATTATATTAATAATAAAAAAGATTGCTTTTATAAACTTTGTTTTTTTTTTTATTACTTTTATAAACTTTGTTAATATCTGTAATGGGTTCTGTCAATTCAATTACTACCAGCAGAATATAAAGTCGTAGAAAGCATATAAAAGAAGAATTCCTCTGGTTAATTTATATTCAATGGTAATGATCAGCCCTGCAGTGAGGAATTACACCAGAAAAGCAAGAAAGTGCAGTACAAAATTTAGGAAATCACAAATAAAAGAAGGAAAGATAAGTCAAAGACAAATAAAGATAGAGAGCAAAGAGGTTCACCCAAAATCTACCTACCCCCTCAAACTCTTCGCCCACACATATATTATTATTAATTGTCCCTAAACCGCAAGGGAACCCGATTTACACGTTTGCTATACTTAACCGTATTATTCTGCCCACTATCCTCCACCATAACATTACCCTCCCCTTTAATCTGGACCTTGTCCACAAGGTCAACCGAAGTAGTCAACGACAACGGAATGATATTAGGAGTAGGATCACCACGACAAGGCTTCAACAGCGAGATATGGAAGACAGGGTGGATTTTGGCATAAGAAGGGAGCTCGAGATGATAAACAATAGCACCAATACGAGATAAGACTTTAAAGGGACCAAAATAACGCATCCCCAATTTTTGTTGGCGTTGTAAACGAACCGAATGTTGACAATACGGCTGGAGCTTGACAAAGACAAAATCACCCACATTAAATTGAAGTTCAATACGGTGGCGATCAGTGTAAAGTTTCATACGATTTTGTGCTTTGAGAAGGTTGCCTTTAAGTTCTGAAAGTAACAAATCACGCTGCTGGAGTTGAGTTTGAATATCTGGAGGAGTACCATCATGAACAGACAAGGGGACGATGCTGGGAGGGTCGCGACTGTACAGTACTTTGAAAGGTGTCATACCAATTGAAGTGTGAAAAGCCGTATTGTGCCAGAACTCAGCCCAAGGCAAATAAGAAACCCATTTATAGGGGTAATCTGAGACAAAATAATGCAAATACATCTCAAGGAATTTGTACAAAGATTCTAATTGGCCATCTGTCTGTGGATGGTACGCAGAGCTCATTTTAAGGGATGTACCTTGAAGCTTAAAGAGGTGTTGCCAAAAAAAGCTAGTGAACACCTTGTCCCTATCGGATATAATGGAGCTTGGAAAGTCATGCAATTTGACCATAATAGATAGAAAAATAGCAGCCACCTAAACCGCAATGAAATTAGAATGCAAAGAGGCAAAGTGAGCATATTTGGATAGACGATTGACCATCACAAAGATAACAGTGTAACCCTGAGATGTGGGCAACCCGGTGATAAAATCCTTTGTAATATCTTCCCAAACTTGGGACAGAACAGGTAAAGGACTAAGCAATCCAGCTGGAGAGGTTTGAACATGTTTTGCGTGCTGGCATACTTGACAAGTTCGCACAAAATGTCAAAATGCATTTGATCCCAATAGAAGTGACCGGCAACACGAGAAAAAGTGCGTAAGAACCTAGCATGGCCACCCAGTCTCGATGAATGAAATTCATGTAAAATGAGGTGGACAAGCGAACAGTCTGCAGATGGAATGACGACGCGGTTCTTGTAAAATAGCAAACCATCCTGCATAGAGTATTGCGAAAATGGCAAAGGATCTGACAAAAATTTTAAAATCAGTTGCTGCAAATTAGATGATAGAGCGACAGTGGCACAAATTTTATCAAGGAGTGACGATCGCGGGATGGACAATGCCATCAAGAAAGAACGAGATAAAGCATCAGCGGCTGCATTTGTGGGTCTGGGTTTGTATTCAATAGAATAAGAATACCCTAGAAGTTTAGGTAACCAGGCTTCTTGCTCCAGTGTCTGGATAGTCTGTTCCTATAAATGCTGCAAACTATGCTGATCCGTATGGATAATGAAGTGGTGACCCAATAGGTAGTGCCAGAACTTAGCAACAACTTCAGTAATCGCATAAAGTTCCCGAACATAAGTCGACTATTTCTGCATATGAGAAAAGAGCTTCTTAGAGAAGTAAGCAATTATATGTCCTTCTTGCGCCAACACCGCACCTATTCCCTGTCCCGAGGCATCCGTTTCCAAGACAAATGGCTTGGAAAAATCAGGAAGAGCAAGTATATGTGCCTCCAACAAAGCAGCCTTAAGGGAATCAAAAGTTGTTTGTGCACTCGAAGACCAAGCAAAGCGGTCCTTTTGCAGCAAATCTGTCAATGGTCTGGCAATCTTAGCATACTGCTGAATAAAGCAGCGGTAATAACCCGACAAGCCCAAAAAAGCACGTAACTAAGTAACCGTAGTTGGAGCAGGCCAATCACGCACTGCACTCAGTTTGGAGGGATCCATTTCAACACCATGTTGAGACACAAGGTGACCTAAATAATCCACCCGAGTTTGTCCGAAAGAACACTTAGAGAGCTTAGCATAAAACTGATGTTGCTGCAGACAATGCAGGACCATTGATAAGTGTTCCAAGTGAAGGGGCCAAGTGGGACTATAGATGAGAATGTCATCGAAGAAAACGAGAACAAATTTACACAAGAAAGGCCGGAAGAGATCATTCATAACTGTTTGGAAAGTGGCCGGAGCATTGGTGAGGCCAAATGGCATTACAAGCTATTCATACAAACCATTATGAGTGTGAATAGCAATTTTGTGGCGATCTTCAGGACAAACTAGAATTTGATGGTACCAGGATCGAAGATCCAATTTTGAGAAGAACACAGAACCGCGCAACTCATCCAAAAGTTCATCAACCGTGGGAATTGGAAAGGAGTCTTTGACCGTAACTGCATTCAAAGCCCGATAGTTGGTACAAAATCTCCAAGAACCATCATGTTTCTTGACCAATAAAACTGGGGCAGAGAAAGGAGAAGTACTGGGTGCAATCGTCCCCTGAAGAAGCATCTCATTAATCATGCGTTCAATCTCTGCCTTTTGTGCAAATGGGTAACGATACGGTTTGACTTTAACTGGAGTGACCCCATCCTGAAGAGGAATTGCATGATCCTGAGGATGGGCAAAGGCAAACCTTTGGGCAAGTGGAATACGGTAGCAAACTGGTGCAGGACAGATAAAAAATTAGGAGGCAAGTTCGGAGGAAAAGGATTCTCATCCGTAACTTGTTGTTCAGGAGAGTCACAGTGCAAAAGATACAATTCTAAAATCTGAGCAGAAGAATGATAGTGCTGCAAATGATTGAAATGAGCATATTGAGGCATCGAGGAAGTGTCCCTCTGTAAGGTTACAAACTCACCACCAGAGAAAATTTTAATGCAGCTATTACTATAATTCTCAATATGAGGACCCAGAGTGGCCAACCAAGAAGCACCAATGACAACTTCAGAGCTACTTACCGCCAAGACATAATGGGAATAGTAATAGTATGATCTAAAATTGAAATAGATAAAGCAGGGATATAACCCTCAGTTTGCAGAAAAGACCCATCACCTACCTGACCTTCAGGTGAGGCAAAGGTTGCACCGAAAGACGTAATAATGCACCAAGCGCGGCTGAATGAAACTGTTAGAACTACCTCCATCAAGTAGTACACGGACAGGCTTACCAAAAATTGTGCCCTGAAAATAAATGGTTGCACTGCTAGGAGAACCCCGAAAAGCATTCAAAGAAAGATGGTGAAGGGCGGCCTCAGAATCTGGGGAATCGTTGGGAGGCTGTGGCAGGGGCAGATCCTCCTCAAGCTCAAAAAGTAAATACCGTTTATTTGGACACCGGTGATTCCAAGTATATTTTTCATCGCATGTAAAATAGAGTCCCTTTTCCCGATGTAATTTTTGTTTGGATGTGACGGCTTGACAGGCAGCGTAGGTAAAAGTGGTGGTAAAATAGAAGGAGGAGGCGTTGATGAAGAGAAGGCCTCCTTAGTAGATGAAGAAGGAGCCGGGTTTGGGTTGGATCGTACAAAAGGAGTTTTTGGGGTCAGAACCGAAAAGCCCACAATATCTTGTTCATCAAACAAATGGGCTAGAGCAACTGCCTTAAGCAAATCTAAAGGTCCCTAGGCGACGACCTTTGGCCGAATCGGGTCCTTCAACCCACTGAGGAAACAATCAAGTAATGCTTCATCGGTGAGTCCTTCACTACGGTTAGCGAGAAGCATGAATTCATTGTAGTAATCGGAGATGGAAGAAGTCTGAGCCAATTTAAAAAGCTTGGGACGAGCACTGTCAAACGGCGAAGGACCAAACTGCGATTCAATGGTAGTGGCCAAAGCAGCCCATGACGGCAATTGATTTGCTCGTTGGAGCATTTGGAACCATGGAATAACCAAACCTTGAAAATGAACTGAAGTGATCGTTAAACGATCTGTGTGCGAAGTGTTATAATAGGCAAAATATTGCTCTGCGCGAAAAAGCCAATCAAGAGGGTCGGTATCGTCAAATTTTAGAAAATCTAACTTCACATGCCGCATCTGCAAAGGAGGAACCAGAGATGAAGGTTTGGGTTCAGCCTCAGAGTTCGTCGCTCCATTCGATGGATCAGAAGAAAATGATGAAAGATTAAGCGTGAGTTGTTCCAATGTTTGTTGTATTCCGGTCAGTTGCGATTCAAACCGAGACATTCTGAGACCCAAATCGACGCCTTTACGATCTTGCGCCTCAATCGCATCAAATGCCTTTTTCATGTCAGTTTGTAACTCCTTGAGTCTAGTGTTTTCTGCCATTGGAGTGAATGAAAGCACCAAATTGTAATGGGTTCCGTCAATTCAATTCCTACTAGCAGAGTATAAAGTCGTAGAAAACATATAAAAGAAGAATTGTGCTGGTTAATTTATATTCAATGGTAATGATCAGCCCTGCAGTGAGGAATTACACCAGAAAAGCAAGAAAGCGCAGTACAAAATTTAAGAAATCACAAATAAAAGAAGGAAAGACAAGTCAAAGACAAACAGAGAGAGAGAGTAAAGAGGTTCACCTAAAATCTACCTACCCCCTCAAACTCTTCGCCCATTACATATATTATTATTAATTGTCCCTAAACCGCAAGGGAACCCGAGCTACACGTTTGCTATACTTAACTGCATTATTCTGCCCACTATCCTCCACTATAACAATATCATGGTATATTACCTATATTATTTAATCATCATTAGATAAATTCATTAGGATGTGGATACAATAAGAACTTGAAACTATGGTCTTACTTACGCACCACTTTAAAAAAAATAAAATTCTATGAATATAATTTTAAAAATGATTTATAAATAAATTTTCAAAATTTAAATTATAGAATGTATTAATTTTTGAAAATTAGATTTAAAAAATTATAAATTATTGTAGAAAATTTCAGAATGTATTGATTTTCTAAAACGGAAGCGCGAAAAACATTCGCTAAAACTATCATTTTACTTGCTAACAGTTAATTGAGAGATCATTTTTTTTGTTAACATGAAATGGTTATTTATCTAAAAATTTAAAATGCTGATCGAAACTTTTTGGGTAAGGAATCAAAATAAAAATATTTTATTAGAAAGTGTAATAATGTACTTTTATTTTTTTAATGCATTTTAATAATAGAAAAACCTATTTAACTAGTACCGTTATTATAATAAAATTTATTGATTTATCTACATTTTTACATTACTAATTAGTAAGACTAAAAAATAAATATTATCATAGATTTTATTAATATTTAAAATGAAAATTATAAAATAAAATAAAATCACATATAAATTAAAAAATTATAAAATTTATAAATGTAATTAAAGTTACATTTTATATGTATTAGTTTTACAACCCGTACAATCTCCATCGATATAAAGCCATCTTCTCTAAGCAAGCTCATCTAATTAACCTCTCTCCCCTGTAAAAAGTAGTGAAAAGGAATAAAATAAAGAAAAAAATAACAAATTAACTTTTTAAAAATAATTTAAAATGTTTAGTTAGGAACCCACATATTAGAAAAGGTTAAAATGATTCGTAATGAAAAAAAAAAGAACCAAAATATATTGTGGAAATTATTTTTTTGTGTAATTTTTAGAAATAAAATTATTTATTTTAATTTTTAAAATACGTTTATTGAAAAACTGCTATAATATATATATATATATATATATATATATATAAGAATATTTTTTAATTTATTTAAAACTGAAACAGTTGAAAACTAGCAGCAATTTCACTTGCAACTGGCAATGGCTTTCTTTAAACGAGTAAGAAAATGTTGATTAATATTGCATTCAGTATGGCAATATGACAAAACAGATGTCAGTTTTAAAACATTAAATTAGATGGATTTGAATTATCACAAAATAATAATATAAAGAATATATACTAACATAAAATTTTACCACCGTTTTTGCCATATCATTAATTATTAAATTATATTTTATATTTATTAAAAAATTATTATTTTAAAAATAAATGTGAAGTGTAATCTAATAATATAAATTAATATTTTTATACTATTAATATATTTAAGTTATATTCTTAAAAAGATAGATAAACAATAGAAATAAAAAATATAGCTTTTTGTTTAAAATATAGATAAAATAAATAAATGTGAATTGATTTTGTTGAAAGCGTAAGACACGAAATTTTGATAATGTATGAAAGAAAAAGGGTCAACTCTGGCAATTTTTTTAATGTATATTATTAGTATATTTTAGTTAAAAAATTAAAATTATAGATAAATATTAAATAGTAGAGATTAAAAGAAAATAGTTTTTTTTTTCATATTAAAAACATAAAGGTTGTGAATGTATTTTGGTGAGAAGACACGATACCTCGGGGGAGGTATCTTGCAGTTGCAGCCAGTTAGCAACACTGTCTCCTCATTCCATAGTACACTGTCACTTCTGCCACTTCCTTAATGACAGCCACGTTTTTCTCTTCCCTTTCAAAGATGTAAATCTCTTCTAACTCTATGTTTATCTTTCTCTCTCTATCTATGTTCATGCATTCATTCCACCCTTTCATCACTTGTTTGTTAGTCGCTACACTCTCTTCACCAACTGTTTTCAGGTGGCGCTTCTTTCCCTTCCCTGCTGTTGTTGGCGTCAAATGTTTGAATTTTTTCCCATTTTGTTGTTCTTTTATAGGAAAGTGTGCACTGTGAAAATGACTCTTGTTTGGCTCTGTTTTGAACTTGAACCATTTCTGCTCCTCTTTGACTTCTACTTCTTGTCCTTATTATTAGATATTAGGCAATGTAGCTTCATTTTTGTTTTTTTTTCTTCCTTTTTTAAATCCCCTTTTGGTGTTTTCCTGATTTAAGTTGAACTTGGAGATAAAAATATGTTTGCTCATTTGTGAGAAGAAAACGCAGTGTCCTGGTTTTGATGTAGTTACTGATTTTTTTTATTCTGTGTTTATGATTCTGGTTCTTCGTCTTTACATTGTCTAATTAAATGGGTAGAGGAAGAACTAAGAATATATCAGAAGAAATGACTTTAAGTGATCTTGCTCTAAATGGTTTGACTGAAAATTTGATTTTTCATTGAGTACAATGATGTTTAAAGATCCATGTAGCAGATCCCACTAGTGGGATTGAACCTTTTTAAAGAATTTAACGTTTTATCGTTCGTAATTAATTGAGTTGATGATATGTATGATTCTTGCAGGTTTTGATGTTTGAATTCTGTGGAGTCTAGAGCATCGATATTTGCGGCGATGGGAAGACAAAGTCCTGGAAAATGGATCAGAAACTTATTTCTCGGGAAGAAATCATCGAAGTCTAAGTCATCCAAAGAGAAAGATATCTATGTAAGTTATTTTGGCTTTTGTGATTGGCATCAATTTGTGTTCATTATTCATTATACTCAAGGTTTATGTCATAAAATAAAGTATTAAGAACAGAATCTATAACCGGTGAAAGTTTACCCGCTGCATTAAAGTGCATATTTTGTTATTTAGGCCCTGTTTATATAAACTTCTTGATAAGTACTTGTAAGAGTAAAAACTTAAATAATAATATGAATCAAACTCCTTTCATAAGTTAAAATCAACTTATATTTCTCTATCTATTTATATTTCTCTATCTATTTTAAAATTTATTCCCCTTTAACTTCTCTAAAACTATAAGAGATAAGTTAAACTCATGAGAAAAGTTTTATTTATTTTATATATTATTTTTCTTCTCTTATAAAGACTTATTCATAAGCTCACCCAAATTGGACCTAAATTCACATTGATCAGACTCATACATAATGCTCAAAGTGCAAAAAAAGAGAAATTCTGAAATACATGTAAGTTAACTGTTCTGTTGTTTATAGGCTGTAACTGTAAGCACTAGACTTTTTAACATGCAAGTTGTAATTGTGATTTCAATTCTGGTGCAAAGAAACCTTCAAGTAAGAAGGATGTTATGGTGGTATCTTCCGAGGCATCAATTTCTCATCCAACTGTTATATCACCTCCATCATTTGGAATTAGTGCTACTAAAGAAGTGTTATCCACAAAGGAAGTAGTTAGCATATCATCAAATGAAAGGGTAATTCTTTCAATTGGAGACAAACAAGCCAATGCACCAGCTCTTGTTAATTTTGGTTCTGGCGACCATCATGAGAAAATCAGGCAAACAGAAGCAGCTATAACAGTTCAGGCTGCTGTTAGAGGCTGTCTGGTATTCACCTCTTATATTTATATCCCCTTTTGTGATTTTTGTTTTTTGTACAGATTATTAGTGAAACCCTTTTATTCCAGTAACATGTTGTGACTACTTTCTTCTGTCCCAAGTCTTTGGTGGTTGATCATTATTTGTCTGTCTATGCTGAACTTGAGGAACCTATTATCTGATAGTTCTTGAAGTACATGTTCTTGATATGTGAAGATGAGTTCTTCATAACAACCTACAGTCATCCATGATTTTTTAAATAAATTAAAATTCTAGGAGTATGTTTGAATTAATTTGTTCTGTTTGTTGTTCTTTAACTTGTTTATAGAAGTTAAGAATATACCATCAACTTGGTTTGCATCTTCTTGAAGGCCTTTAATATGACATGATGTGCTATATTCTCTTTTAAAACTTTCAAACTCATAATTAGCACAAAGACATGTATATCGTGATTATAAAACACAGTTGACTTCCTGCTTGTGATCTGATTGCACAAAATTGAATATACTAGAAATTTTAAATTTTTATAATTTGTTCTAGCATATACCAGCCACATCATATCCCATATTCTTGAGGATTTCCTCTATTTCTGTATCTATATTCAGTTGTAACAGTTTAGCTGTCTTAGGTACAAAGAATCTAGTAAAATGTAATCAATCTTAATTTTTTTAAATCTTAAGATGTGAAGCAAAATTTAATCTTGCTTTCTGTATGATACTTGCTATACTAGCTAATACATATTAGTTATTTCAAAAGATCTTCAAGGCATACCATGTGGTAGAAATATTGATAGACACCAACACAACTGTTGCCATTTCAATAAATTCTCAGTTGAAAATGTTAGGAAATCAAAGTTAAATACACCTCAAGTGTGAAACAACTTAATGGATATAAATGGAAGCGTACTCAAAATAATTGTGAGGAATGACTGAATAATCTCTCTATCAAATAATAACTTACACACAAGAGATTTTGCTCGCTCTTGCTATAATATTAGTATTCTAGAGCACTATAAAGTATACCTAAAATCCTTAGTGTTTAAGCCCAAATTTACACTCATAACTTTTCTCTCTCTAATGAAACAGTCAAGTAATGCTTTTGTTTTCTATACTCCTTCACATTGTTTTTTCAAAACATAAAAAATGTTTTTATTTATAGGAACTGGAAATTCATTTTCTGCTACACATGAATTTTAGGAAACCCATAGAAATAAACTCCATGAATTCCTCCTCCTTCTGCCTAATCAAGCCACATGCATATTAGTTCTCCACCTTGACTTGTATTTGACTCTTTAGTATGAGTCGTTGACTTCTGCAAATGTTGATTAAGTTTGAACAATGTTTGAACTTATCAACTGGAAATGATTTCGTCATCATATCGGCAAGAAGATATTTAGCCGTAACTATTTTCTTGATTACAACTATGTTGTCACTTACACTTTCTTTGATAAAATGAAGTCTGACATCAATGTGCTTCATCCTTTCATTATAAACTGGATTCCTAGCTAGATGAACAACACTTTGACTATCACAATGTATGATAGACACCTGCTTGCTCAACTCAAAACTATCCAAAAGACCATGCACCCATATGCTCTCCTTAATAGCCTCAATTAATTCCATATACTTAGCTTCAATAGTTGATAGTGCCATTGTGTTTGCAATGTCACCTTTCATCTAATAGTATATCCAAAGACTATAAAGATAAAACCTGTTAATGATCTTCTCTTATCCAAATCACTAGCATAGTCAGAATCTACATAGCCCATAACTCCTTTGGTTTATTGACCATCAATCACCAAACAAACATAAGTGACACCTCTTAAGTACTGCATGATCTATTTCATAGCTTCCTAGTGTACCTTCCCTAGTTTGCTCGGAAACTTGCTTATTACATTTACAACATGTGAAAAATCTGATCTAACGAATACCATGACATACATGAGACTGCCAACTGCACTGGAATAAGGCATGAGACATATTCTCCACCTCTTTCTCAATTCTCGAACACTTGGCTAATGATAACTTGTAGTGTGTAGTCAAAGGAGTATTGACTGCCTTAGATCGATCCATATTGAAACATTATAACACCTTTATTATGTACTTTTGTTGCAACAATCAAAACCTGTCATGACGTCTCTCCCTATGAATATCTATGCTAAGAATCTTCTCTATTGTGCCCAAGTCTTTCATCTCAAATTTAATTCTCAACTAAACTTTAAGCATGCTAATTTCAGCTTTTTTACTTGCAACAATTAGCATATCATCTACGTATAACAATAGATAAATCCTATAACCATTTGGAAGCTCCTTAGAATATATGCAATTACATATTGGTTTCTATTGTATCTATCACCAATCATAAATGCATCAAACATCTTTACATGGTCATACAGGTAGATCTGCTCCTCCAACTTATCATGCAAAAATGCCATCTTCATATCAAGTTTTTCTAGTTCTAAATCCAATATATTTACAATAGTTAAGAAAATCTTGATAGAACTATGTTTTACCACAGGAGAGAATACTTCATGAAAATCAATACCCTTCTTCTGAGTATAACCTTTTGCTACCAGTCTGCATTGAACCATGGAAGTTCAATGCTTGAGATTCCTTCTATTCTTTTAAAGATCCATTTGCACCTAACAATTTGTTTCCCTTTAGGAAGTTTCACTAGCTCCCATGTCTTTTTGTTTTTTTTTTTTCAATCTCCTCATTCATTGGTATTAGCTATTCCTTTGACTAGTTACTGTCTCAATCATGATGATAGGTAGATGGTTAATCTCCCATTGCACCATTTGTCATAGCAAAACCGAATGCTATAGGATCTATATCCAACGAGTCTAGTGTACAAGTAACATAATTCAAATATTTTTGAGGTCTTAGAATTTGTCATCTTGTCCTACCAGTAGAATATTGTATGGTTCTTCTCTAGTTTCTTTACTAGTATCCCTTATGTCAGATTGCATCTTCTTCTTGTTCCAACTTTCTAACGTCAATTTTTAGCTTCATGTGTTTCTCAACATCATGATTTGTTTCTGCCTAATCTCTGTCAAATTCTTCTTTTTGATTTATCATTGTCCTTTCATCAAACAGAACATCTCCATTGATAATGATCTTGGGTGAACATGACTTCTCTATACACCATAGTTTATAGCCTTTCATCCCTCATGCAAACTCTAGAAATATACACCTTGTCCTTGGCTCAAGTTTACCATCACTCACATAAGCAGGACAACAAAATATTTTCAAATTAGAATAGTTTACAGGTCAACCGAACCTTACCTCTCTTGAAAAATCTTCAGATTAATTGCAGTTGATGGAGATTTATTTATCAGATACTCAGCTGTATTGGTTGCCTTATCCCAAAATGATTTGGGAAGTACAGTGTTGATCTGCATGCAAAATGTACGCTCTAGAAGTGTTCTATTCATGCGTTCTGCAATACTGTTTTACTGTGGTGTTTTAGGTATAGTATAGTGCCTCACTATACCTACAATTTTACAAAACCCCTCATTTTTTGCTACAAAATTCTCTGCTATTGTCAGTTCTTAGTCTCTTAGATTGATTGCCCAGTTTGTTTCTCAATCATGACCTTTATTGCTTAAATTTGATGAACACTTCATCTTTATGTTTCAAGAAATAAACCTAAACCTTCTTGGAATAATCATTTATGTAAGTAAGAAAATAATGAGCTTCACCCAATAAGTTAACAGGAGCTGGACTCCAAACATTCAAGTGGATATACTCTAGTATCCCCTTGCTATTGTGTTTGCATGACTGAACTTTACTCGTTTATACTTTCCAAATACACAATTTCTTCAAAAACAATTTACAATTCTTCAAACCTTTTGGCAATCCTTTATCAGCAAGTATCTTCATTCCCTTCTCACTCATATGACCAAGTCTCGGGTGCAACAGTTGTGTGACATCATCTAATCTTTCAGAGGATAAAGCAACAGTAGTTTCAAAAAGTTGTGCTTCCCAGCAGTATATAGATCTCTCCTTGTAGTTTTTCTTTTATCACCATCATTGTACTTTTAGTTACCTTCAAGAAACCATCTTCTCTAACAAACTTATACCCTCAGTTGTCTAGGGCACTTATTGAGACTAGGTTCCTCCTAAGATTGATACAAGTCATGCTTGAAATGTTCTTTCAATACCTTCATCCAATCTAATTTGCACCACTCCTTCACTTACAACTCCAATAATTCTATTGTCTCATAATCTAACCTTTCCTTCTCTCTTTTCATATGAGGCGAAAAAATATCTATTAGAGGTCATATGAAATGATGCACTAGAATCCAAGATCTATTCGTTCCCAAGTCACTAGTGGTAACTATCAAGGTAAAGTCAACATCACTTTCTTCAAATCTTTTAACTGTTATATTGGCATAATTTCCTAATTTTGTTCTTTCAGGATAATTTCTTCGAATGTGTCCTATATAGTGACAATGAAAACACTTTAAGGACTTCTAACTTTTAGATTTGGATCTATTTTTGCTTTACTTCTTGATCTTCTTTCTTGGCTATTCCATCTCAAAAAACAATCCATCTATAGGATTATCAACACCGGATCTTGATGTTAATTTTTGCTGCTCCTTAATCGTTATGGTATCACAGAAATTATCATAAAACGAAGGTAATGAAGTCAATAAGATCATAGCCTACTCAATATCTTCAACTGTTATTCTAGCAGCTTGCACATTGGTGATCATTTGATTGAAGTTGTCAATATGGTTTTTAATTAATTTTTCTCCAAAAAACTTGAACATATACAACCTCATTCTTTGGTAGAGTTGATTTGACAAGATCTTAACAAAATATTTTTCTTCTAATGCCTTCCATAACAAATTTGCCGTCTTCTCTTCTATAACCTCTTGCAACACATTATCTGCTAGGTTTAGTTGAATTGTACTCTATGCTTTGGCCATTATCTCATCCTTTTTATTAGAAGACAATGTTTCCAATAACTTGTCAATGCCTTCTAATGCTTTTGTCAAACTTGTTGCATGTTGCTGGTCTAGCACTGCCTGCAGCTTCAGCTTCTATAAGTTGAAGTCATTGGATTTGTCAAATTTCTTCACTTCAAATTTTGGTATTGACATTTTGAATTAAGTGTTGTAATACCACTTGTTAGGAAATCAGAGTTAACTATACCCCAAGTATGTGAACAACTTAATGGATGTGAGTGGAAGCCTACTGAAAATAATTGTGAGGATTGACTAATAATTCTCTCTAGCAAATAATAACTTAAATACAAGAGATTCTAGTCAGACTTTCTCTTACTACAATAGTAGTATTATAGAGCACTATATAGTATACCCAAAATCTCTAGTGTTTAAACTCAAAATTATACTCAGAATTTTCTCTCATTAATGAAATACTCAAGGAATGCTTTTATTTTCTACACTCCTTCACATTGTTTTTTCAAAACATAAAAAATGCTTTTATTTATAGGAACTGGGAACTCATTTTTTGCCTCACAAGAATTTTAGGAAACACATAGAAATAGGCTCCATGTATTCCTCCCATGACTTTTACCAAATCAAGCCACATGCATATCAAAAAATTCAGTTATTTCGTTTGTAGCCATGTCTATTGAGCATGTTATGAATGCATTATTATGTGGAAATCTTCATTAATATATCTGATCAAGCAATTACTATATTCTTTCTTTCATAATTTATAACTATCACTGCAAATTTTGAAAGTGCTGATTCCTCATCAAGAAGTTTGGGAATGTGAGTGTTTGAGTTTGTGCATGGATGCATATGCGTGTGTGGTTAATTAATGCTTAATGTGATTCCTGCATGACTCAATTGAAGGCACGTACAACATTTCAAACACTCAAATGTATCATACCACTGCAAGCTCATATTCGCGGCCAGTTGGTTCGAAGACAAGCTGTTTCTGCTTTATATTGTGTGAATGCAATTGTTAAATTTCAAGCATTGGCTCGTGGTTACAAGGTTAGGCACTCTGGTATTGGGCTTGCAGTTCAGAAAATTTGTAAGGTAAAAGTTCTTTAACTAATTCAGTTAATGCAATCATCTGTGGTTTATTCTACCTAATTTTCTGGTTAGACATGTTAGGTTTGTCATTTAATCAATATCAAAAGCTGAATATCGTCAGTTACATTCTGTGCCTGAACTAACTGCTTCAATATCATTTTTGTCAGGTTGCTATACGTCCAAATTCTATTGGAGCAGTTACATCCACACAGGCAGCAAAACTGTCTGCTAATATCTTTGTTAACGAGGTAGGAAGTACTTGTTTACTGTCTAATATACAGAGTGTAACATTGTTCTTGTATTGTATTTATTTTAAATGTCTGAAGTATAGCTTATTTCGGCTCACTAAAAGTTTAAAACTGGAATTAAAATATTATTATTATCAACTGATATTTTTGCTGCCCATGAAGGTTTATCGGAAGAGATGGTTCTCTTGCTACTAATATAAAGATGTTGTTTTAGTTTTCTGTATTAGTATGTTTTACCTAAAACAAGGATAAAATAGGTTCATTTATAGGTAAATTACTAAACTTATGCACTCCTTTACTGTTGTGATTTATGAGTATTTAATTCATTCATTGTAAGTTGAACATTTTTGGTGCCTGATTTGATTGTAAGTTGATAACTTAAATCACTAAACTTGCTTTCTTATTGATATGATTTATGTATATGACTTGCATAACAAGGGTTGGAAATGAAGGATGCTTGTCTTTTTCTTCTTGTTTTGAAAGTTATGATTTCCTTTATAATATATTTTGTTTTAGATAATAACTTGTATTATGCATTATCCCTTTCAGCTGCTGGCTTCATCAACCTCTGCAGTTCTTGTGTATCTCAAATTTATTCCTGGAGAACCTAACTTGTCCAGGGCGTGGCTTGATCGCTGGACGAAATCACACTTTTGGGCTCCTCATCCAGAATTGAAAAAGCCTGACTCAATGTCCGATAAGAAGAATGGCACTTGTCAAACAATTGAAACTAATGAGGGACAAGTCAAAAGAAATGCCAGGAAAGCATCTGCAGTGAGGGTTGGTAATGATTCAGCTTCAGATTCTAACAAAAATAACCGGCATCCAAGAAAGGATTCAAAACTCCCATTGCATTCAGCTAAGGAACATCCACAAAAGGAACAAGAGAAAAAGAGTTTTAAAAAAGCTCAAATTCAAAATGCTTTCGATAAATCTGAGGTTTCTAATAATGAGAACAGTACAAACATGACAAGAAAAGATTCAGATCATACAGTCAATGATATCCCAGAGAAATCATCAGAGAAGATGAATGATTTGACAGTTTCAAGGTCAAAACAGTTTGATCATACAGACAATGAGTCATGTAAAGATAATAATGTTCTCTTGCAGCCAATCTTAATGAATGTTGAAGATGGAGGAGTCATTGAAGACTTGAATATTGGTGACAGTTGTATGAGTAATGTAAGTTTTAAGAATTGCCAGAGAAGAGCTTCCCTGCCTGCTAATTTTATGGATCATGAAAATCTGTTACATAACACTCCAAGACTTCCCAGTTACATGGCTCCCACTGAATCTACAAAAGCTAAGCTAAGAGGACAAGGCTCCCCGCGGTTCGCCACCGATTTCGCAGACAAAAATAGTATAACCCGGCGACTTTCACTTTCATCTTCGCTTAATGGCAAGCTTGGTTCATTTTCTCCACGATCAGATCGATTGGCAGCCTTGAGCAGCAAAGGAATGATAAGGAGTGATAGATCTCTATCATCTTCAAGGGATGGTACTGGTAAGAATTTTGGATTTTGCATCCTTTTCTTTTTGCTTTTCATGTATTGATGGTTTGAATTTTTTATTTATTTATAACTTTTCTATTTGTGAATTTGTAACAAGTGCTTTGGGAAATACAAATACAAAGAGTTGCATAGACATACATTAATCTACACAAAAACATATGCCCAATCACACTTGGTTTTGTCATGCATGCTTGTTTTAAATGGATAAGTTTCATTTATAATGAGTAATAGAATGCCTGTTTTGATTTCCCACTTGACAGTGCTTCATTTTCTATCTATGCATTTGAGATGAGTCTCATGTATTTGAATTTTGAAATAAAAATTTGTTTTTTCTTATTATTTTCATTTTTTAAGTAGCTGAATGATGTGACTCCACACAATAGTAATGCACTCTGCATGAAGCAATTTATTATTCACATTCATGACTGTGTAACGTGGATATTATCAATTTCAGATAAGTTGATCCAACCTCAGTGGAGAAGGTGATGGTACATAATCTTTCAGAGATCAAAGATGCTGCACGAGGTAAAAACTCGGTGAAATATTTGGTGACTTAGATTAAAGTCTTTTGCCTTTCTGCACTCATCATTGTTATTTGTGATCAGAAATATTGATTGAAAGATATATGGTGTAATCAGAGTCTGATATATCATTTTCTTTTACTTATGGCAGTGCCAGTGTGTTGCTGGGTATAATGTAATATTTTCATATTTTAAGAAAAATTTTCGTATCAATCTTGTAATCTGTAATGTCACATGTTGCGTGTCAAAATGATGTAAGTAGTGTTCCGACATCAGTGATAGCGGCAGATTTCGATATCTGAAGCACTGAAACATGGAGTTGCCACGTCAAAAAAATAAAATAAAAATATAATATTTTTATTTTTTTTATTTTAAAAATTATATAATATTATCATTGTAAATTAAAATAAAAGTGATAATATGTGTATTATAATAGTTTGTTAACGATTTTCTTTATTTTTTTCTATGACATTTAAAAGTTTTTACACAAGAATTAAGAAAATAATTCATATTTTAAATTTTATAAAATGTTATACATATATTTGTATTGTATCTTTCATTTATTATATTCATTAGTATCTCACTTATTTATTATATTTATTAATTGTTCTATCAATGAACAATGAAAAAATAAAATAATTAAAGTGTAAAAGAAAAAGAGGAAGAGAGTAATTTTCCATTTTTTAAAAACCAAGGATAAGTGTGTCTCTTACACTTTGTGTGTTAAAGATGGAAAATAATTTGATAAAAGGGTGAGTCCTCAAAATTTTCACTAAAATAAACATTTGAGATATTTTTGTATTTACAAAATTAACCTTTTAATTCTTTAAGGAACAATTATGTTTATGAACAAGTTTTTTTTTGTTTTTGTTTTTGTTTATTGTATAATTCTAGCCAATATGACCGTTGGGAAATAAGGATATTCTATTTTAATATTATTTGTCTTTAGCATGTCTCTTAAGGAAGATTCTCTATTTGTTTTTTTGTCACGTGTTAAAAATTTTAACATAGAGCATTGAAAGTTTTTTCACAATATTTTTAATTTTCTATTGAAAAGCTATCACATGTAAGTGAATGGATAGTTTAAAGTTTAGGATAGCTGAGATTTTAAATTTCTAAGATACGGTAATATCAGTATAAATTATATTTCTTCTTTAAATTGGTTAAATTGGCCTTAGCCCTTAAACCCTAAATTCCGTTTCTAATCATGAGCTTATGGGATGACTCGTAAACACGTGTATTATTAGTTATGACGATTTTCATAATATTTTTTTTTAGAATATAAAAATAGTATTTTTGCAATAGTCATTCCAGTTCTTTTGCCTTGTCTTTATTTTTTGGCGCATTTTTTTATTTTATTTCTTCTATTTGGGACAATCTACCCAATTTCTCAAAAATAGTTCACAAATTTTTGTTCTTATGATTACTTCATTCTTGTATAAGTTTAGCTACAGGTGGAGTGGTAATTCTATTTCTAGGTGAAGTGGTACAACTCAACAAGAGCAAAGTAATGTCCATAACAACTGCAATTGGAACAATTAATATGCAACCTTCATACTCTAATCAAAACAAACTCTTTCATAATGACATCTTTTCGTAGTTGTGAAGGCAGTGAAGTTTTAGTATCTATGAGTTTATCTCCAAAAGACACAAGATTAAAAGGAGTAGAAGAGAGAGTATTTGTTCCCCTTAAGTTTAGCAACTCAAAAGATTTAGTGTTATCAAGAAATCTTGATTTTGCCTTAGCACCCATGAGTTCATTCTTAAAGGATACATAAGCAAGAAGAATAGGAGGGATAACACTTTTCCCCTACCCGGCTTGATAGGGTAAGGGTCATCAAGAGTCTTAATTTTTTGCAAAGAAAACAAACTCCATTGTTTTCTTTTAGACAAATTTGCTGTTACTAAATTTTTTTTTTTTAGACAATTTTATTCTATATTTTTGCTCTTGTTTTGTAATTGATTTAATAACCAAATTTATATTTAATATTTTCTTATTAAAATAACAGTTACTACACTGGTGGATGAATTAGTTTTAGCATTTTTAGGTCTGAATTTATGGCTAAATGTTTCTGTTGTTATTATGACCAAATTATCACTAAATTTATTTATTTATTTTTATAATTATTATCGGTAACAAAATCACTTGCAAGTTTTAACCCATTATAAATAATTCTAAATTTAGTTGTTAATCAATTTTTTTTTAGTATTAATTTTTTTAATCTCAACCTTTAATGTAAACTTTAGGCTTTTTAAAAAATTATTGTTATTAAAAAATTAATATTAATTCAATTTTATTTTTAAAGTGATAAATATTTTTTGATAAAAATGTATCACTTTTAGCTGCTTATTTTAATTGTAAAGTCTAAAGTTAATAATTTTTATTTTTATTAATTAAATTTGTTAAAGAAAAAAAATTTCAATTTACTATATACGGAAATGATTAATATTTATAATAAAACAAAAAATAGATTTAACAAAATTCTACTATACAAGACTGTCAAAATAATAATTTTTTTATTATTAAACATTGATAAATTCACATTTTACTAACATTTTAATTTAATTTTTAATAGTTATTACGTAGTTAAGTTGATTAGTAAAGCTGAAAATCACATAAAAAATGTTTTAATGTTCAAAGTTTTTTAAATAGTTTAGTATTTTAAATTTGATTCTAATCTTAATATAATTCTGCTGGTTAGATTGTATTTATGCAGAAAATATGAAATGGAAGCTATGAGGTTGAGAATCAAATGAAGAAATAGATGAAAGTGGAGGAATTGGACTTAAAGAAGTGAAAAATCAAGTGATGAAGTCAGAAAGTTATCACTCTGGGTGCACAAAATGACAACTCTCAACCAGATTCAACAAAATAAAGTGAAAGTATTTACTCTAAGTGTTCAAAGTGAACACTTTAGAGCTTTAATCCAGAAGAAGAGGTGAAAGTGTACACTTTAAATGCTTAAAGTGAACACTCTAGAAGTGTAAATTCAAGAGAAATTTGTGCGTAAACACTTTAAGTGTTCAAAGTGAACACTTTAGAAGCAAAAATGCAAGAGAAGCATATGTGTTAACACTTCAAGCACCCAAAGTTAACATGTGCAGGCTTAAATTCCAAGAGAAACATGCGCGTTAACATTTCAAGCATTCAAAGTTAATACACGCATTATAGATAGCTGGACGTTGACATTTTCAGCACATGAAGTATTCAGTTCAGAGAGGTTTTGGTTAGAGGAAGGTTGCGCGTTAACACTTCAAACGTCCAAAGTGTTAACGCCCATGATAAAATGATGAGAAACCACTTTAAGTGTTCACTCTAAGCATTTAAGTGTTCACCTCAGCTTAGGAAGATTCCAAAAGACATTCTATGTGTACATTTTAACCATTTGAAGTGTACACATCAGAAAGGACCAAAAAAAATTATAAATACATGTATAGTTTAGGAATTGAGGATCTTTTGCCATTTTTACTTTTCATTTCATTTTCTCATCCTGAGAGAGTCAAAGAGAGAGATTGGGGACGAACACCAAGCTTCACATTTTGAGAAATCAGATTGAAGATTGTATTGAAGATGTTTCTCTACCCATCTCCTTCTTCTTTTTCTTTCTCTTCTCATGTTGTAATGGCTTTCTAAACTTTTGTAGTTAGGGATTTATGGATCTGAAATGAAAGTATTGATTTAATTTTAGATCTGAACTTTGAGTATTTGATTGGATTGAGTAGTTAATTCTTTTAATAATGTAGTTTTGGATGGAAATTCAATTAACTAGTCAAAAGAAGCTTTACTAATGGAAGTTGGCTTTGTTCCTCATATCTGAATTAATTACCAAGATTAGTGATTTCTTAGGGATAAGTCATCTTAATCTTGCGATCTTATGATTTCTAATTCCTAATGCAACACTTTATTGAATTACACCTAAGGGATTAAGGTGATTGAGTTGAAGGTTAGGGTCATTGAGTTAAGGAATTAACTTTTGACTAATAATTTGTAAAACTGATTGTCAACCAAATCAAATACTTAACTTTTTAAAACATGATTAAGTTAATATTGAAATTTTGTTGATGCTATTTCCTAACTCTAATTCATTCATATATCTTGTCTCAATACAATTTTTGTTGTTCTGTTTTACTTCAAGTTTACATATTTCTATACTTGTTATTTCTAATTTGTACATAATATAAACTCTCTAGTCAATTGTATGGCTCAACTAAATGTTGATTTGTGAAGTGATAATTGAGAAAACTAATATCTAAGGACAATACTTAGGACTCAACTTTGATTCCAAAAATTTTATAATTTGCTACAATTATACTAGTACACTTGCTAGTAAGATTACTTTAGTGCACACACTGTGAAAGTAACAAACATCAATATTTTACTAAGGACAAATTTAGAATACAAGGGATACTCTAACTCGTTATAATTTTAAAAGGAATCAATAATACATGTCAAAGGATCATTAATCCAATTTACAATTGATCTTTTGAAAGGCCCTGCTGTAAGCAATTTCCAAGATATATATTTCAAGTATTTGACTCAAGCTTTGATGTTTTCACATAATTATTTTTCATAAATTTAGATCGAACCTGTAATTGGAGTTGAAATCATGCTTTTTCCTCCTCACTTTACGAAGTGTAATCCTAACATTAATTCTTTCTTGCACTATTGTCTCAATAACAACATTGAATTAAGGGAAATCTAGTCCTTAACTCAATACATGATTATTCTTATCTGACCCATGAGAAAGCCCAATAATTAGGTCATCAGATTCTCCAATAAACTTTTTTAATGCCACATCCTTACCTTTGGTTGGTCCCTTATTAATAACACTCAGTTGTCATAATCTTTCTTTAGCTCTCATGTCCCACCAATTCCCTTCCTCATAAATTTCGACCAACAAAGGCCCACCTTGGTTAATTTCCTTTTCAAATGCATTCTCATCCAATCACACATCTACATTATTATTGAAAATCAAGTCATTATTGATACTCACTTTATAA